AATTAATCATGATTAATTCTTTTGCCAATATTGCCCAACCCTAGTCATGCCACACCTGACAGCACTTCACTGGTAATTACTGGTATCGGTACTCAGTATCGGCATGTACTTGTACTCTGTTTGAAAAACTCTATCGGTGCATCCCAACTCAGAGACGAACGTGTTCTTGGGGAAAGCAGGAAGAGGAAGTAGAAAACTTGAGCGCGCAGTTTGAAGCAGTGTAAACGTTAACTGTTTGCTGCCATCAACCATGTGTTTGTTTTTAAAGGAATAATCCAACTTTTTAGTTGAGCAGCAGCTCCTGAGTTTAACAGAAAGACTGGAAACAGGACCTGTTGCAGGTTTAGAAGGAGAAGCAAAACTAATATATTTGACTCTCCACAGGTGATATAGATGATAGCACTAACATCGTTCAGCTCGAGTCTGGAAATAAATCGTTGATCTTTTGTATCAGTTTCCAGGTATTAGTCTGGTACCGCCGCCTCAAAGTGGGTCGTTCTGCTCCAGTCTTTCTGTTAAAGGTAAAAGCTGCTCACGTCACTAAACAGTCAGCACTGCAGGGACGCTCTGCTGACAGCAGGGGGTGTGAGCGGGACGGCTGCTGCTGGTGACTGAGCTGGACTTTTTCACCTCATTTGGAGAAAAAACAGCTGAGAAGTTGTGAGAAAGAGCAGCTTCTTCCAGCAGACTGYCGTCCTGAGCACACCTTCCTCTGTTCATGTATGAAAACACCTTTTGTTGCTTATTTTTATGTTGTAAATGTATATTGTATCATTTATTTTTTTCCATTGTCTTTGCTAATCTGGGTCTCATCTAAAACCAGAGCCATGTTAACGGTGATCCTGAAGCTTTCAGTCTCTGTAAAGATTCGTTCCCAGCTGCAGGAGGAGATCACACTAACGTCGCCTCAAGGATAAACCAGGAACAGGAAGTCTGCAGCTGTCGTCCGACATTCCGGCCCGACACCAAATGTAGAATGATTTTTACAGTAACTGCTCCGGTTTGGTCAGATGTCACGCAAAAGGAAAAACAATCATGCCATTTTTTTTTAATTTAATCTTTTTCTCCGTTTGTAGCATTCATTTAAATGTATATTATCTTGTTTTCACCTTGTTTATAGAAGCCATTATTAGTTGAATTTGTTGTATCAAAACCTTATTTTAAGTAATTTTTTTAAAGAATTGTTGTAAAAATTGAATGTTACCTTTTGTAAAACCTTTTTTCAAATGGATCACAATAAAAGTCTGAAAACTTCCAGTAACACACAGTCGTTGGTGTCGACTCTTGTGCTGCAGTGTGCCGTCCTTCAGTCCGGCACTCTTCAGCCATTTKGTCAGATCGGCCACTTCAGTTACCTGTCTGTGGTACATCACATGCAGGGTGTTTTCCTTTGATTGTTTTTTCAGCTCTTTTCAGTTCTCTGAGACATTTATTGAGCACCTCGTCTCTTGGGGCTGTCTTCCTGGTGTGTTTTTGGAGCTTGGATATTTAATCTTGGATGGTGGCTCTGATGTTCCCCAGGCCTTTGCCTCCTGTGTGCTTAATGTATAGCCTGTAGACACTGATTTGGGGTGGAATCCATCATGCATGGTGAGGACAGGTTCCCACGGGTCCTTGAAATCCTGGAAAGTTTGTGAATTTGAAGGGAAAAAACTTTAACTGTCCTTGAAAGTTTGTGAAAACAGCCAAAAATTACACTTGTCCTTGAATGCTTTTTGGAGAGTGAAGTTCTCTATTCACATAACTGATTTTCATCCTCTGTAAAAAAAGTAAAATAACTTACATTTGTTGCAGTGGATAACTCAGGATTACGGTAAGGCTTTCAACAAATAACATGAGCCATAGTCATAGTTTTACCCAATCAGAGCAGAGCAGGGTGGGTCATTCTTTCTGGGCCCAGGTGAGAGCACCACAGCTCCTCCTGTCCTCACCGAGGGTCTGGACATGTTCACATCCCCTCCTCCCAAACTGAGCTGCCAAACCTCYCAGGATATAATTACTTGTTCATGTATTGTGGATATAAATGTAGGGTGTACATTTAATCCACTTTCTTTCATTGATTCTGACTCAACAACTTCTATGTTGTTCAGTTTTCATTAAATTTACATGAAATTAAACCTGTTTATTGGTAACATTGGGTACCAGTAGGTAATTGCCGTCAAGTGTGGTTCTTGAACTTGAGGAAACTGGTACTGGAAAAGTCCTTGAATTTGATGTTGACCARGGTGTGGCAACCCTGTGAGTAATTTGGTRGTCACTACATCTACAAGTGCAAGTTAAAAACTACCATGCATGTCAACAACACCCAGAAACACTGCTGGTTTCTCTGGACCTGAACTCATCTGAGATGGACTGACACAAAGTGGAAAAGTGTCCTGTGGTCTGAAGAGTCCACATTTCAAATGGACGTGACCTTCGGGCCAAAAAAAAAAAAAAGACTGTCCAGAATATCATCGGCACAGAAATCTAAAGCCAGCATCTCTGATGGTATGGGGGTGCATTCGTAGCATGGCTAACCTGCAGATCTTAATGCTGAAAGCAACATACAGGATTTGGCGCAATGTATGCTGCCATTCAAGTGACATCATTTTCAGGAACGTCCTTATTTCAGCAA